GCTACAAAAAGTACGAAAAAAATGTTTTAGCAAAGAAGAGATGACAACGCACGAACTAACAAATCGCGAGACGAGTAATAACAAATTAAGAAAAAAAGGGAAATAATAAAACGAGATGAAGAGAACGTTCTTGATAGAAGAACTAGTCAACTTAATAACAAACGAAAATAATATTTTTCACGAAGACAAAAAAAAAAATCTCTTATTATGGTGAATATCGAGTACGAAACGAATGTGTGCGCGAAAGTGAGAGAGAGAGAGAGAGAGAGAGAGAGAAAATGAAAAATGGGTCACAAGACGAATAAAAAAAAAAAGGGAAGAGAAGATATAAAAATTCTAGCAACAGAACGAGAAATAAAGCTACCGCGAAATGTGCAAAAAATTCGTGTTCAGATATATCGATAGAAGCGTTGCTGTCGATCTTTCGAAGACAGATGGGAAGGGATAGAAATGCAATCGACGACCTTTATCGTATGCCAAAGTCAACTTGCAATTCATCGGTATTTGAACATGGCGCCACGAACATGGTTCCTGGGTGGGGGCTAGATGGCCGCGCGTGGTGGGGATAAGCAGGCGAGCGGAGCAACTAACACTAGTGTTATTATCGTAATTGTAACGATTAATGGTTAACGATCATAATCTTATCGATAAACGCTAAATGATAATAAGATGGGATGGCACGAAGAAATGAAACGTGAAGAGGAATACATATTGCAAAAGAAAAGAGAGAAATAAGGATACATTGCGGGTGAATACACATCGTTTACTTGATCGTGAAACGATAACGTTGACGATGATACTGATGAGGATAATGCACCCAGCCGAAAGAAGGAGAAAAAAGGAAAAAAATAAGGTCATTTCGTAAAATCGTTCGTAGCAACTCGACGAATCGACGCCGTTTCTTTCTTACTTTTATCTTTTCATTCTTTTATCGTGAAAGTGAGAACGAGCGGAAAAGAGTGCGTGCGTGTGTGTGTGTGTGTGTGAGAGAGAGAGAGAGAGAAAACGGATGAGAGAGTGAAAGAGAAATTGAAATTGGTGGAGGAAGTGAGTATAAGTGTAACAAATCCAAGGGGCAAGGGGTAAATTTTTTTCGGGGAACGAGGAAGGAGAAATTGCGAGAGGAGGATGCTCTCTCATTATACATATATAAATATATATGATTATTATGTAATAATTGTCCATACATCTTGAAATGTCGAAATAAACTAACAAAGAAAGATGAACGATTTTTATTGTCACATCATGCTGTGTTTTACATATGTATATGCAAGGAATGAATAAACAGTGAGTCAAAGATAGCGATTATTTTTGTTGTTGCGAGCGTGTTGCATCGTGTTTCATTTCTTCGAAAAATCATCTCCATTAGATTCTTTACTTCATTCAGGATTCTTTTCAACTATTCCAATACGTATATAATAACTGAAGAGACAACATTTATATAAGAGAAACATTTATATTTATTTTACATTTATTGTTCCTTTTTATTATCATCATCATTATTATTATATTATTATTATTATTATTATTATTATTATTATTACTATTCGGTCCCGTATATTCATGACAATGTAATTTCACTCTAATCTTAAGAGATTAGGGTGTTACGCTCTGTAAAATAATCTGTGATTGCCTGATTTAGTTTCCAAATAATATTTTGCAATATTCAACATTTCTTCAAGACAATAAAATTGTCATTTTTCGTTTCTTTTCTGCTGCGAAGTATTATTCCTGCGTTGTTTGAGAAATCTGCAGCGTTCGAAATAAAGTTACGACATTGTTTAAACATTATTTCAAATAATGTTAATTCAATAAAAATATAATACGTCGCTTATGACACTAATAAAGCAAGATGGGCATAAGTATTATAAAATTTCAACATCCTTGTAACATATATACAATTATTAAATGGTTTTAATAAATACGCAATTAAAGTTAATCTGTTTAATTTTTTAATGGCCAGTCCGACGATCCTCAAGTAACCAATGAGAATTTTCGACATCTGTATTACATTGTCGCTTGCACAGATGTCAAATCTTTGAAATTTTCCCTCTGTTCATAAATTTCGCTTGTTTAATTATATTTTTCTTTGTTTATTTACGTTTCGGTTTGTTTATTTACATTCGGAATGTAAACAACGAAAATTGGAAATTTTTTTTAAAAATTTCGGAAAATTTTTTCTTCGTTTACAAATTTCGTTGCTTTGTTTATTTACGTCTTTCTTTGTTTATTTACATTTCGGTTTGTTTAGCTACAATTTTTGCTTTGTTTATTTACATTTCGGTTTATTTACTTTTTCCTTTGTTTGTTTACATTTTGGTTTGTTTATTTACGTTTTTCTTTGTTTATTTACTTTCGGAATGTAAACAACGAAAATTTGGAAAATTTTTTCAAAAATTTCGGAAAATTTTTTCTTCGTTTACAAATTTCGTTGCTTTGTTTAT